GGATGTCCCAAACGTTTGTGAATTAGATCTGGGGAATCTGTAACGGAGCATGCTGTTAAGGAATTTGAAGAGGTAAGATAGTAAAGGCCTTGTGATTCATGTCCTGTTCCAATCATCTGTCCCGTACTGCGGTCCTGCATGAGAAAAAAATCATCGAAAAAAGTTATGCTACAATGTAGGGCTTTCGTCAAACGACTAACAGATGCTAGATTAAAAGGAGAACCAGGGACATAAAGAACAGAGTCTAGGGTGACAGAAGATAGGGGTTTGGCTTTTCCAACCCCTTTTGGTTTTGTTTGGATCCCATTGGCTAAAGTAATAGCTGGAAGAGATTGTGAATAAACAATATCGGATAAAAGTGATTTATTACCAGAGATATGATCAGAAGCCCCAGAGTCCATGACCCATGTTCCAAGAGTACTAGATTGCGACACACAAGCAAAAGAATTACCCGCAACAGACACATCAGGTTGTGCAACCGAAACTACTTGTGGAGACGTTTGCTTATTTGCACGATACTGAAGGAACTCATCATATTCTGTCTGAGCAATATGAGCATTATTGGATGGTTGATTAGGTTGAGCACCATATGCTATTGGTGGAGATGTCTGTTTACTTGCGCGATTTCGAAGGAACTCATTATATTCCTTTAGAACAATAGGGATCATAACTGGGTGGTGGACCATGCAAAATATAACATATGTCACGAGTGTGTCCAGGCTTATGACAATGACTACACTTGGATCGAAGTTTCCCAAAATGCCCTCCCCCTCGGCGATTCTCCATAGATTGATAATTGGTGCACCATCCATGAGACTGCACATTCTGAATGACTTGTTTCCCTGACCAAATTATCTACTCTATGAGGAGAGTTAAGCATTCAATTCTTAAATCTTTCCATCTCTATGACATTGATATTGTTAAAATTTTCATCTTTCCATTTCTATGTCATTGATATTGTTAAAATTTTCACCCGCTGTGCATTGTTGAATTTACAGATTTGGTTTGCCAATCTGGACCTGGGTCCTGGCCTTCATATGTTTATGCTCAATCAGCACTCTATCCTATGGCAAATAGTGCAGCTCAGGTTTACAGAATATTGTCTACTACTTCAATCAGTTTCTTGATATCTATCTATCAGTTCCTTGCAGCGATGCGTCATTGATATGGTGTTGAAAGTTTCTCTTTTCCAATGTTCTTGTAGGATCTCTTTGGTATAATTCCTGGTGATACAGACTACAGAATGTTTGCCCAAGATTTTGGCGATATTCCTGGCCTGGATATCATCTTCCTCCTTGGGGGTTATTTTTATCATACCGCATCTGATACTGTTGAAAGACTATTGTATGCATCACAATTGCTGTTTTGGTATAGTTCACCAAATTGAATTTTTATGACCATTACGTCTACTTGGATACTTGCTCTGATAGATGAGAATTTTTTCCGACCTAGACCTGGAAGCATCCAAGCACGTGGAGACAATTTATTAAGAATAATCAAAGCCTTCACCAACTCATCTAACCTGCAAAATGCACATCAAAGGAGATTAAGATCTGCTGTCAATAGATCTGACAATGAACGTGCAGTTTTCTTTGATTACTTGTCATGTTTCTTGGTAAGCCAACACTTCTCAAGATGAAGATCTTCTTTATACATGAAGTGGAATTAGATTGTAAATTAACTATAGAGTACCTATTGTTCTCCTTCTCATTGTAGGTATACTATTCACGAAAGCAAGCTATGTTTCTTCATAGTTTACCTGTTGTCATCTTTTTTCTTGTGCCACTTCTCCTACGCTTTCCAACTTGGGGACTGACCTGTTGTTTTGCAACCTTTTATGATTTTCTTAAAGGTAGGTAACCTACATACTTTAATTCTCTCTTTGGTTGGAAGAGTTCTCTTAAAAGACTTGTTTCTCTGTTCTGCTTCATTATTGGCTCTTATGCAGGGATGTTATGTCATGCTTTTGCAATTTTGCTAGCAATTGTTTTTCCAGTTGCCTTTGCTGTCATAAGACTGCTGTTTTCTAGTCAGTCAATGAACTGGTATGCTTTTGTTTATTCTCGAGATTGCATTCTCTGGGTTTATTTTGGAGACCTATTATTTTTTAATTATGTCTAAGTGTCTGGTAAAAGTTTCTGCTGTGGTTTCAAGTCGTCGAACAGCCTCTCGCAAAAATGCCAGGTAAGGCTGCATGCAATATAGATTTAATGTGATCCAGTTTTTCCTGGGCCCCACACATAGCGAGGGTTTAGTGCACCAAACTGTCCTTTTTATGTTTGACTGTCGGTCTTCTACTCTATGACAAAAATATTGTGATACTTAACAAAATTGGTATCCTGATAATATTGTATTAATGAAAATTTGGTGCTACCCTGAAAGAAGATTTTTGTGGAAGCTGTGACTATTAGTTCTCTTATGCCCATTTCACTCCTTTAGATCTTCGTATTGAATTGTGAATATCTTAGTTAAGAAATATATAAGTGGAGACTTGTTTGAGTAACATAAAGATAAATGTCGCATAAGTGGAATGCCTCAAGTTGCTTCTAGCTGCTTGTCGTTAAAATTCTCAGATGTCAAATTACTAGTTTTTTTTGCTTTAAAAAGGACATAGGTGTGCCACATCCTCATCAAGCTGCTTGCACTTTGACACCAATAAGCAGAAGTTTTGACTTGACTTTGAGAAAACTTTTGGTAAATTGTTTTCATGAATAGGTTTTCTACACCATATTTGGCATTCATGATGTTTGTACCTAGTTCACTTGCTGGGATGTTGATTCCAAGAATGCTCTGGAAAAGCTTCCCTCTGACTCAAGATGTTTCTATCCTGAAGTTGTCAAAAGAGGTACAACTTCAAATATTGTTAATATTGTTTTGGAAAAGATGTCTGCTTTTCATGTCTGTTTTCTTGTTCCATCTCTTCCTTTCTTATATCTTATGAATATGTACGAGGTCAAAAATCTATTGTTTTCTTTATTAACGCATTACACTGCAGACCAATTTCTATATATTTTATTTGTTATTCCACTGCAGTTTTTGAGAGCCATTAGAGAGTATTTAGATTGCAAATTAGTAATACGAAGAAAGGTAGAAGAAAGAAAACTGATATCATCTGCTTGTTTTAAGACTTCTTAGATACATTGTCCTGTGAATTTTGATTGGGGTTTAAACGACTGGCTGTTTTTAATCATTAGCTATTCAATCTACTTTGTGTCACGACCCAAAATTCGACGATCTGTGATCAGCACCAACAAACCCTCTTGTTGAGCTAACCAACTTTAGTCTCAACTCATTCATTTCGTGATTAATGAAACAAACTCTATCGGATAATTAATTCAATTAAAAATGCTAAAATAAATAATGCAAGGCTCATTCGAATGTAACTCCGAGTTAGAAATAGGTCTAGGCCCACAATGAGTCAAGAGCATCTAGGATTTTCAGAGTACATAATGTACAAATTGGAAATGAACTGATATAGAAGTCCGAGCTACCACACAAATAGAGGGGTTGGCTCACCACTGATAACTGCAACTTGTGAACTCAACCACAAGGTTCGCTAGAGCTCAGATTATTATCTAGAATAAATGTAGTAAAAGAAAAGGAAGAGGCATGAGTACGGGGAGTACTGAGTAGGTATCCTTGGCTGTCCCCAATAAGGTTGCAGTGAGAGTCGCGATATGAAAATTACTTTTTTAAATAAACCTCTACATATATCATAATTGTCAGAAATAAAGGAGAAGAATATTATTTAAATTGTGTGTCTATATTATTATATTGAGACAATATTTATAGACACTACATTAAACTCCTTTTCCAAATAGGATTCCTGTTCCTATTCCAATTCTAAATAGGATTGTAATACTTATTCCTGTTCTAACACTCCCGCTCAAGCTGGTGCATACAAATCATATGTACCTAGCTTGTTACAGATGTAATTAATACGAGGACCGGTGAGAGACTTGGTGAAGATATCTGCAAGCTGATCATTTGACTTCACAAATTTCGTAACAATATCTCCTGAGAGTATCTTTCGACAAAGTAATAGTCAATCTCAATGTGCTTAGTCCTTTCATTAAAACACAAGATTTGATGCGATATGAAGGGCCACTTGATTATCACACACAAGTTCCATCTAACCAATTTCCCCAAATTTAGCCCTCTCAGCAACTGTTTGATCCAAACTAGCTCACAAGTTGCTACAACCATTGCTCGATATTCGAATTCTGCACTAGATCAAGCAATCACACTCTGTTTCTTAGTCTTCCACGACACCAAATTACCTCCTACTAAAACACAATATCCGGAGTCGAACGTCTATCAGAGGGTGATCTTGCCCAATCGGCGTCTGTATATCCAGTGATATGCTCATGGCCTTGATCCTTGAAGAGTAGTCATTTACCAGGAGTTGACTTTCTATATCATAGAATATGAACAACTGCAGCCCAATGACTATCACAAGAGGAAGTCATAAACTGACTTACAACACTCACAGAAAAAAGAAAAAAGTGATGTCAGGTTTAGTCATTGTCAGATAAAACTTTCCAACTAGGCACCAGTCGTCTATACCTTTTAGGATTACTGAGTGGCTCTCCTTGTCCTGGAAGGAGTTTATCATTTGGATCCATAGGAGTGTCAATAGGTTTAGATCCCTTCATTCCTGTCTCCTCAAGAATGTCTAAGGCATACTTGCGTTGAGAAATAGCAATACTTGGACCCTTAGGGGTGGCCCAGTGGTTTGGGCTTGGGACTTCCATGTTGGAGGTCTCAAGTTAGAAATCCCTTGCTAGCGAAAGCAAGGGGTTTGCCTTCTGGGTCGAGCTCGTCGCACCGGGCTTGCCTAGTGTGAGTCACCTCTTCTATGTGGTTTGCGAGCTATTGCATAGGAGCGGACGTTTTACCCTGTGCGTACCAAAAGGGTAGCGGCTGCGGGTTTCCCTTGTCATAAAAAAAATAAAATAAAAAATAGCGATACTTGGTCTAGACTAAGCAACCTCAACACCTAGAAAATACTTTAGTCTGGAAATGCTCAAGAGATGTTGCTTCAAATTAGTGATACTACCTTGATCATTGCCGGTGATAAAAATATCATCAAACGTAAACAACCAAATAAATATACTGATTTGGTGCAGAAAGTTGATAAAACAAAGAGTGATCAGCTCCACTATGAGTCATGCCAAACTCTGCATTACTATGCTAAACCTTCCAAACCAGGCTTGAGGAGACTGTCCAGACCATAGAGTGACTTACGCAATCGATATACAAGGCTACTGGACTTCCCCTGAGCAACAAAACCAGGTGGTTGCTCCGTATAGACTTCTTTTGCAAGATCACCATGTAGAAAAACATTTTTAATGTCTAACTGATGAAGAGGCCAACGACGAACAAAAACAAATAGATAGAAAAAGACGGACAAATGCTATTTTAGCCACGGGAGCGGAAGTATCACTAAATCAAGCCAAAATATTTGAGTATACCTTTTTGGCATCAAGGCGAGCCTTAAGCCAATCAACATGATCATCTAGACCAATTTTGACTGTATAAACCCAATGACAACCAACAATAGATTTACTTGTAGGAAGAGACAAGTTTCCAGGTACCACTTATATGTAAATTAAACATCTCATCAAGCATAGCCTGCCTCCATTCCGAATGAGAAAGTGCTTCACCTGTAGTCTTAGGAATGGAACTAGAGGACAAAGATGATACAAGGTATAATGGGGTGATGAGAGACGATGATAACTCAAAGGAAGTATAATGTGGGTTAACATTTCTAGTGGATTGTATACCTTTTTGAAGTGCAATTGATTGGCTAGAAATAGACAAGTCCGCATTAGGAGTAGGGTCCGACACATGATATGAATCATCTAGGACTAGTGCTGGGCGTGGATGACGATGATAAGTCTGGAGTGGTGGCACTACAACTTGAGATGTAGAAGTAACGGTAGATTCCTCAAAAGTCGATACAAGTAAGACCTGAAGTATGGCTAAAACCTCAGAGACATTAGAATGATAAGAAGATGTATAGTAACCAAAAATGACACATTTGAGAGCACGAGGGGCTAATTTATCTTTACTGGGGCTAAGTTATAAACAAAGCATGTGCTCCCAAAGACACTAAGGAGGATTGAGTAAAGATGTAAGTGAGGAAACAATATGGAATGTGGAACCTGATTTTGAATAGAAGATGAGAGCATTTTATTAATTAAATAACAAGATGCAAGGACTGCATTGCCCCAAAAATGCAGCGGAACATGAGATTCAATTAGGAGAGTGCGAGCAATCTCAATGAGATGGCTATTCTTCCTTTCTGCTACTCTATTCTCCTAAGAGGTGTACGGACAAGATGTTTGGTGAATAATTCCTTGGTGAGTCATAAGTTCCTGAAACTAGGAGGATAAGTATTCTATGGCATTATCACTACGAAAAGTATGAATATAGACAATAAACTGATTTTGTATTTCAGCAAAGAAACTTTTGAATATAGAAAATAACTCAGAATGATCTTTCATTAAGAAAACCCAAGTACATCTTGAATAATCATCAATGAAACTAACGAAATAACGAAAACCTAAGGGTGAACTGACTCTACTAAGACACCAAATATCAGAATGAACTAATGAAAAAATAGATTTTGAACGACCCTCAGTACAACGGGAAAAGGTAGCATGGATGTGTTTCTCAAGTTGACACGACTCACAATCTAATGTGGATAAACTAGACAAACTAGGCATCATCTTCTGCAGCTTGGATAGACTCAGATGTCCCAAATGTTTGTGAATTAGGGTTGCGGGATCTGTAACGGAGCATGTTGTGAAGGAATTCGAAGAGGTAAGATAGTAAAGGCCTTGTGATTCATATCCTGTGCCAATCATCTGTCCCATACTGTGGTCCTGCATGAGGAAAACATCATAAAAAAAGTTATGCCACAATGTAGGACATGCGTCAAACGATTAATAGATGCTAGATTAAAAGGAGAACCAGGAACATAAATAACAGAGTCTAAAGTGACAGAAGAGAGGGGATTGGCTTTTCCAACCCTTTTTGGTTTTGTTTGGATCCCATTGGCTAAAGTTATCGTTGGAAGAGATTGTGAATAAACAATATCAAACAAAAGTGATTTGTTACCAGAAATATGATCAGAAGAACTTGAGTCCATGACCCATGATCCAAGAGTACTAGACTGTGAAACATAAGCAAAAATATTACCCACAACATGAACATTAGGCCGAGTAACTGGGGCTTCTTGTGGAGACGTTTGCTTACTTGCTCGATATTGAAGGAACTTATCATATTTTGTTTGATTAATATGAGCATTATTGGGTGGTCGATCAGGCTGAGCAACATATGCTACTTGTGGAGATGTTTGCTTACTTGTGCAATTCCAAAGAGACTCATTATATTCCTTTATAGCAGTAGGATCATAACTGGGTGGTGGACCATGCAAAATATAACATATGTCACGAGTGTGTCCAGGCTTATGACAATAACTACACTTGGATCAAGATCTTTCAAAACAACCTCCTCCTCTCCGATTCTCCATAGGCTGATATGTTAGATTGTCTATGGTTTGAGATGCGAGAACAGAGGAGTTAGTGGTGGATGATGAAACTACTTTGTGATGGGGAGGCACAACAAGACGAAGTAGACGAGAGAATAATTCATTAATTGTAGGAATTGTAGGACTAGCTAAAATTTGATCACGTACTGAATCATGGTCAGGAGGAAGTCCAGCAAGTGTAAGAACTAGACACAATGTTTGTCGGTGCTCTTGTTGTTTTTCTATGTTCGTGGTGATTGACATCAACATCTCAAATTCCTCCATGATTGCCCATACTTGTCCCAAGTACGGAAACATATTAGATTTTTGTTTCTTTAAGTTGGTCATTTGAGATATCGCATCATAGAACCGAGATATGTCATTAGTGTATAAAGCACGAGCCTTTTCCCGAACTGAATAACATGTCTGGAATGGGTGAAACAAGGGCATCAACTTGGAATCAATAGATTGCCATAAGAGACTAATACTTTTGAGAAAAGCTTAAGTTGTTAGATAGAACACACTTTTATTAGTTAATGATATTCTCAACACACCCCCTCGATTATATTCTCAACAAGTCCCCTCCTTCACGTGCAGGCCTGATTTTTTATTCATGGGCCAAACACGTGGAAATTCTTTTTTTAATTTGGGTGGCGGTGAGATTCGATCCCAGGACCTCTGCCTGCTGTGATACCATGTGAGAAATAAAAGAGAAGAATATTATTAAAATTGTGTATTATTACATTGAGACCCTATTTTTATACACACTCCATTAAACTCCTTTTCCAAATAGGCTTCCTATTCCTATACTAAATATGATTGTAATACTTATTCCTATTCTAACAATAATCAACAATAAAAATATGCATATACCCACAACTTTGCAAACCGCATACAACTAATTCATAGAAAAACCATATAAGAATATGCACCAAAGTCAGCAAATAGCAGTAGGCACAGTAAGAAAGCATATGTCGATATGCACAAATAAAGATCACAACTTTTAATAAACAAACACTATGCCCAATATCATGCACATTGCTATAGAGTCTACTAAGGCAAATGACTTGTGAGGAGGGTCTAATGCACATGTAAACCAAAATCCACACTTGCAATTGAATCCCACATATCCAATGTGAACCAAATGTCTATCAACATACACAAGAATGTGGTAAGGCAAGTCTATAGGCCATTGCCTTCAATCTTCTTCAAGATCTTATGGAAGAAACCTTCAAAGAACATGGTCACCCTCTAAGAACTCCAAGTCACAACTCCTTTTTGTGGCGTAGAACTTTTGCCTACTTTGAGTTGTCCGAACTCCGACGTTGTTCTTGTATAACTTTGACCTTATCCAAGTTCGGTTGAATCAAATTTGGACCTAATATCTTTCTTTCATCCAGTTGAAACTGCCCAACTTGAGAGTCCATACAAAATTCACCTAATGGGAAATTATCATATAAAGGGACGCTTGCATAGAGGGTTCTTGGAGGTCCATAAAGAATCAAGAATGTTCGAGAGACTTCCTGTGTCTTGAAGCTTTAGGGAGAGTGAATGAGAGTATAATCGTACTAATATGATTATATTACGTTATGAGGGACTAAAATTTGTACAAACAAAGGACCATAGTACTGTTATTTTAAAACATAGGAGAACGTCGGGAAAGGGGGTCCGAGTCGCACCCCCAAAGCGCCTCGGGGGGGGGGGGGTGTGCG